TGAATCGAATTCTTTTTCTCCTCTCTCCATTCACTCATTTTGGTTCACTATTGAAGGGTTTCTCCTATGTCTTTCCATATTACAATCCGTTTGTTTTGGTCAAATTAGTTCCACTTCTTACAATTATCTTTGCTGCTTCCCCGTGATAAAATACACTCTTTATTATCGACTAATCTCACTTTACACTTCAGAGAATTCAATTACATGTCGTTCGCAGAAATTACTGGTTTTTTTTATCATCCTAATCGCTAGACTTCGGAAGTTGAACGAACGAATTGAATTTGAGACGGGATGAATTATGACGAACTCTCAGTGCCACTTAAAATGAACTCACTAATTAAACAGTCAGGGAATCGCCTCGTATTTAAGGCTGAACAACAATAACACCAACCAGACGAATCTCATTTTGCCTATTATTTGAGCATTGCTGGCTGTGTTGCATTGACTAAAAATTGATTTTCACTAAAAATTTCCGAAAACAAAAAGCCGTAATTGCATTATGAGCAGCGAATCAGCTTGGCCACATCAAATGAGATCGGTTTCTGAAATGACTCAAAACAAACGCATTTTGTTCAGTTTTTTTGGCGATTTTTATTGACTTTTCTTTTCTTTTACATAAATGAAAGAGAACAACTCAATTTTCGTGAAATGATACTTTCGCATTTATTCAATAACAACAAAAATTTATAAGCAAACGATACACATTAACGCACATTAACGAAACGTCCCCCAATACAGAAAAAAAATCTCACATATATTCAAACAGAAACAGAAATGTTTTTCAAATGTTCTGATCTAGGACATTAAAACCGAACGTTCGAGCAGCACCACCTATACTGAACAAAAAGCTAGGCCTCAGCTGCACTCTAGATGCTAAGGATTAATCAAATGTTGAAAATTGCTTTCATGTGGACATCCAAAATGAACGAAGCGACGTTTCGGAATGAAATGATGCATACAGATGCAACATATACGTTATTTTTGAGGATATCCTTCATTAAGCATCCATTTCGCTGGAAGGAACAGAAAAAAAGCTCTGATTAAGTTAACCTCTTAAAACGTCTGCTCAATGACGTATTATCCATCCCGTCAGCCGCAACCAATGAGAACGCGACAAAAAGAATAATTTTTTCACTCGTTCGTTCATTTCATTTCGAACACCGTCTCAATAAACAAGCATGCATGGCAAACGGTTCATATGCATTATGAGACAGCACGAAAATCACAACAACAAAATGATGAAATAGATGCAATTTCAAATGTAAATATGCGAAGCATTCAATAAAATGAAATTACGAACTGAATTTTTGAAAGATAACGATTCGCTTTAAAGAGTATTTTCGATATGCTAAATTATTGGACGACTTTCTGCAACTATCCGAGAACTACTTTCCAATAAAAACCCGGCGGTGGTAATATCAATCTGTATTCCCAATCCTTCTCATCATATTTCACCATTTCAAATTAGATGCATTCTTCATTTCGGTTTGTCCATCGGATAATCAATGAACCAAGATCGGACTATCTTGGATTAATGGATGGATTAACCAGCTGGTTTCAACTTTTCATGCATAGTTTCAGTTCAGACCATACAATGAATAAAATGAGTATAAACTGCGTGTGAGATCAATAAAATTTGAAGAAAACAATAAACTGAAAATGAGAAAAAAACATTTTACAATTCTTGAAAAAATAAGAATAGTCAACAGAATTACGTAAGAATTGATTCAAGTAAATGTACACGCAGCAATAACATTTGAAACAATTTGAAAGTAAATATTTGAGAATTTCAAATATGAGCACTTCGTAATGATGAGCAAAAGTGATTCTATCAAAGAAAATCTGCGCTATCAACGTTTTAAAATGGAACGCTTATAGATTGATCCATCATGCTGATTCGAATACAATCGGTCATCGAGATACGGATGCCAACATTAGAAGCTCTGATCAAAGAAGCTTGCAAAGTGTCGTTTGATACGGACACTGAATCAGCAACGCATGATCATTGACGTATTTTCGGACTGGCCTNGAGAACAATAAAATTCAACAAAACAAAACTAGAAACATGTTCGATTCACTTACGGTGGATCATCATCATCGGATGTGGCGTCGCTGGCACGCATCCGATAATAGACTCGCATTGGATCTGATAGAAACCATCCATGCTTCGACTGAAATTAAAGTCCTTTCATGTTATTTCACTATCTTCTCTTGTGCACTCAATAAAGACTTCACTGATGACCCAATAAGAACCTCACCAGTACCACTTCCACGTCTTTACGATCACTGATGACCCACTCGTATCTTCCAAACTAATATTTATCTAGCAATAAGCTGGGGAACGTCTCATAATTTTGGTTCCTCTCCTTGACACTTTCCAATTTACCACCGTAACGTTTTGGGTCGAGAATAGAAATCTATTACAGGATCAACCAAAAGCAATGGAGAGAATCTAGTCGTGATGAGCACGTTAAGCAACTAATTCAATTTGAACAAATCAAAAAAATCAACCTTTGGTCTCTTCAGTGATGCGATCAATCGTTGGTCGTCTGTCCAGCCATTGAATCTGCAAAAATTATCAAACATAAAAAAAGCCAAGAACTGAAATTCGAAATGGATATTTAGGGATGAGGTAATATTAATGTGATTTGCTGTTTATGACAAATTCGTAGACAGAATATGGAACAGAGACACAATTCGTTATCAGAGCACCTAACCTTAAACATTGTCTATTTCGACATTCCAAAGCAAGTTTTCCGTCCGGACGATACTTATCGATAGCACGCAAATTCGCACCACAGAAGCGACATTTCGTTGTGCGACGTCTTAAGGATGTCACTGACGACTGAAAATCTCCTCCCTTATTGATGAGTATGCAATAAACCTTTCCACTCAGTTGATATTTGATGTTCACCGATACTTTGCTGGTATCGCTTTCTTCCTTTCAGCTTTACTCACAAGTAATGACCGCTTTCTTTCACTTTTNGCTTTCATTCGAAGAACTCACATCCCAAAATAGACAAATCACATAGGAATTTCATATGCTTAAATGGATTGAATTTCCGTTTGAGAAACAACTTAAAAGAATGCTGCCGAGTAGGGATTGTGAGCAACTAACCGTATCAGTCTTGGCTGCGCTGACCGATGGTGGAGTAGAATTGTTTGCCGTTTGACTAGGTCCTTGTTTTATTGCTTCCATAAACGCTGGAGAATCGTCGAGAGGTGAGAAAGATCGCTCTGAAATTGCAGAGGAACGATGATATCGACCAAAATGTTTTATCTGAATCCATGGCAACGCCTAATTCATCATTTGCTTGGTTTCATCATTGAATTAGAGCACAATATCAAAGTGGTTCTCCTAACCTATGCGGATGTCACCCTTATAGTTGGGTGGGTCGGGAGCCTTCGATCCTAATCCTATCCTCTGCGCATCAGTAATCCTAAACAATTACAAAATACCTTCCTAACTTCTATTTCTCAATTCAATGGATAACAGTCAAACTGGTCACCTACAGGTTACCATCGACTATTTGACAATCAAAAACAACAACATTACAATTTCTTAAGGAGATGACGATGACAAATAGTGAATTTAAACTGGGAACGACAACGCAACAAAACACAGCCAACTGTTACTATGAATAATTGATTGATTTATAAGCGTTCGAGGTGAGAAGATTGGTTCAGTGTCAGATGGCCGCAATTCATGAACAACTTTATCCTCTGAAATACCACATTTTTGATTACTTGCTCATTTCATCATTCAAAACGCGAACTGAACGAAGATAAACGATGACGTGAAACTGGATGAGCCAAAAGAACATCGAAATGATGAATACCTTCCGACCGACTGACTCAATCTTCAGACCTCAAAACAGCTTATCAAATGCAATACTGCGATACGAAAGCATCAACCCAAACAATCCGCACTCACCGTTTTGTTTGTCAACAGAGTGTGCAGTGCTATCAGAATGTGCAGACGTTGTGCGTTCAGCATGACTTTGGCTCAATCTTTGTTGGCACAAAGCTGTAATGCTTTCAGAAATTCGTTGCTTATTCAGAACTGTAGCACTACCGAATAGGTCGCTAGCTTCGGCTGAATTTATAGCACAAATGTCTTACTTTTCTCACTCACCAATGCATGTTGCATTCAAAAGAAAACAAGATGAACAGATAAAAATCGATTAGTAACAAGTATGAATGTGCGGAATAAAACTTTACTTTCAAACAAAAGTCATAAGAAATGAGAGGTAAACTACTCAAGCAGTATTATCATCAATAATACCACCAGTAAAGGAACTTTCAATTCTAGTCCAGCTTAGAGTGGACGAAAACCGATGAATTTCAACTGAATCGTTGACTCAATATTGCCATAATTATTACAATTTTGCACTAATAATAACAGAAAACGCAAACATTTCTGCAGTACTTTTCTGGAATAGAAACGCAACCTACGTTCCAAATTTGGCTCTCTCGAATGATATCTCCGTTGACTGATCGATGATGTTTCCCTCGATATCAGCTCCCCTTCAATTACTGTATGTGGCAGCACACTGACCGTCGACAAAAGAGCGCCAACCAAGTCACTAGTGCCCTGACAAAAAATAATCTCGAGCTACGGTACAGCTGCGACAACGAGAAAGAAATCACAGCTTAGATCGTTTGCACTCTACCTTTACAAATGGTGCTCATAAACAATATGCGAGAACATTCCAGCTACCAGATACATCTCCTCGTGTGACATACATCCTGCTACAAAGCATGAAGTCGAACAAGAAACAAAACCAGCAAAAATGATGCATCGATACCTTGCACGAGTTAATGTCGGCAGTCTTTTCATCATCGTGATTGCTGCCGACATCTTTATTGTCATGCACATTCTCTTGATCCACTTCCATCGGTTCTGCAGAAGTGTTGTTCATTTCATGAGAATCGCGAGGCTGAAATTCGCTAAAATTATGTCTCAACGAATGTGATCACGCATGAAGACGTGAACTTCTTTCACGTCAATAATGAAGTAGCCAGCACTGCGAATCACTCACCAACCTATCAAGCTAGACCATCGACGTATCATTCTCTCCCCTAATAGACTTAATATCATAAAATAAATACACGGATTCATTCATGGTTATAGGTTCAGATGTGGGTAATATCAATCAGTTACTTTTTCTAATCAATTACCGATACTCTCAATCAATCAATCAGTTGGTCGATTTTGTGAAATAATAGCCCACCAATGATGCAAGTGAATTCGTCACCGTCATGTCCGGTTCGTCGTCAAGCAGCATTTGTTCATCACTTGCTTTCACCGCTTCAACTAGCTCTCTCTCACTCAAACCATCCAACGACCGAATTGATTCCAAACGATCGAATTCGGATTCTAGATCCGGCATGCGCTCTTCGCACGACTCAGTTGTCGGCTGAGCTTCAGGATATGATTAGATCGATGAACAATTTTCATTAATTTATTTTGAAAAATTTGTAAAGTCGTAGCTATCAGCACGAAATAGAACAACTGAGATGTCTATTATTGGGAAATTGTAAGACATCATATCTTTTTTTGCTATTCTTACTCAGAGTAAATTATTGTTTGTCTTATTTCCATTTTTAGTTCTTTGTTGTCATTGTCACTACTAGAACTATTGTTATTCTATTTCACCTTTTGGTAGCCAAATCACAAATAAATAATTGAGAAAAATCACTGTTATAGCAATTTTAATTACTGCAGTCTGCCACTGCAATGCTTCCGACGAGAGGTAAAATGTGAATGAGAACTTTGAAAAGATTCACCTTGGTTTTAATATGTTGACTGATCTCGTCAGGGTTCAAACAAGGCGCCAACACGTCTATATCTGCTATGATTTGGGGTGTTAATGTCGTACCCTTCAGAATCGACGCTCCTTCTTCAGTATTCACTGTGACTGATGCACCACCTGTAAATATAAGCGATACCGTGTGCATGCATTACATTTCGTACACAAGAATAATAGCTCAGCATCCTTTCAAGGATTAGTTGACCGCCTTTGGGCGTACGTTATTTGCTTTTCTTTTGGTGTCATTATTTTGCTCAACAGAATGTACGTATGATGAACAGCCAGCAGTATCATAAACAGAGAGAAGTCACCGTAAAAAAGCCAGAAAATTACTGACGTTTTCGACGAAGTGAGCTTGATGATGTACCAAACATCTGACCGTCGGTTGATACGCTCCCAGATGGCGTGACAACTTTTGGAGTCTGACGAACAATAAGTTTGACTCTTAAAGATTCATTCATG